AGTGCGTCCACATTTTTTATTACATGGAGTTTTTAGAGTGGGTGTCTTCTTTTCTTTTCCTTAAGACGAGATTTTGTCAAGGAAAGACGTATAGCTGAGACATGCCTACCAATGAGATCTCTGCATGGGTGACCCCCCCCCCAACTCTTCTCTGAAGCTGTGAGTCAGCAGTATCCCCCCCCCCTTTCCTATCTCTCTCCAGTGCTCCCGTTACTGTGCGCTGCAGTGTATGTACCTTGGAGAATTTATATGGGAGACTAGGGGCTTATGCCATCACCGCTCTTGGTGGTAATGGAAAACTCCATGCCTTTTAAGTGTTAGAGCAGTTTGTTGGGAGAAGCTGATGACTTGAAGTACTGTGTATTCTTTGATGTTAGAATTGTAGGTGTGTGTTTTTTTAAATCTCATCCTTTATAAAAAGAATAAAGGAGTTGAGATGCTTTTCTCTTTTGTAGGAAATGTATTTATGCCTTCCTCTTTATTCTTTGTATCTTTTCCTTTGTCTTCTTGTTCGTATTGGTGAGTGTCTGAAACAAAACATCGTTGGGGCCCAGAATGCAGTGGGAGGCAGGGATGTGCCCACCCCGGGGGGAGAGTGCTGCCTTCGCGGGTGCCCTGACACCCGCAAGCACGAGCAGGTCGTTACTGTGCGGGGTACGGAGGCCTCGCAGTGTTCCTCGTCGTTAGAGTCACTAGATGGCAAAACCCACCTCAGGTTTCCCAGATTCACTCGTTTATTTGCTGTGGTTGGACTAGGTGGTCTTTAGGTATCTCTCAACTCTGAGAATCTGTGGCAACTTCTGCTGCTGGACTTCTTTCTCTTTTCTTAAGGTTATCTGAAAGCCATGGAAAAATGAGAGGATGCTAAATAGGTGTCGCTAAGTGAAGGAAGAAAAAAAAATCAGCTTACACTCTGTCTCTTCTGTTGTATCAGTAAATCAGCACTGTTACAGTGCAACTTGGTCTTTCTGAGATTTGTCCATTTTCCCAACTACGAAAGGAGACCCATTCTGTGAAGTACACACTTGACGGTTTCCTTTCCTCAGGCAGGAGAATTACTTTGGTAATATCCCATCTCACATTTTAGCACAGCAGGAGATTTTTGTTGAGTAGAATGATGAAAATTAGAGAAACTGGGTTTTGATAGCCTTGTACAAACTTCTTAAAAATGTGTTATTTATTACTTTTAAGTACTAGTGATAAGCTTCCCAGTTTTTTTTTTTTAAACCTTTCTGTGCACACACAACTCTCTGTGCTGTCAAAATGCAGGATTTGCGCATTGAGGGGCAACTAGCTCATGGCATCTCGTTTCTTAAGGCTCAACCCTCCTGTCTTGGAAGCTGCATTGTGTTTAGGTAAGTTACGTTAGGCAGGAATCTGAAGGTGAACACCGAAGGTGTGCTAAAGCAGTGGTGATAATTCATCGCACTGCCCTTTCAGAGAGCACCCAGCACTAAGTGGCTTGTGTGGTTGCAGAAAATAGGACTCCAGGCAGGCTAGCCGATTCCCTTGGTGTCAGCCAGTGACTCGGTAACAACAGAACCCGGCTCCTGACCAAGCCTGTGGTTTTCGTGCGACGTTGAGTTGTCCAAGCAGAGCAGTGCAGCCTGCTTGCGTTTCCTACTGGGGGCTCCGATGGTGAAGGTGTTTCTTGTGATTTGCCAGTAGATTCTTATGCACTCTCTTACGTATCATTATGGTGTGTCCTTTCATGTGGAGCCCTAAGTCTGAAAACATAAACACCAAACCAAAGCAAAAAATCTTGTTATCCAGGAAAGTCTCTCTCTCTCTTTTCCTTTCTTTTAGAAAAAACACTTTATGATAAAAACACAAACACATAGGAATAGTAACTGAAAAAGCGTTGCTTCCTTTTAGAAAACCGCTAGGATTTGCATAAACCACTTGACTGTCTGGTAAATGATCATCTGCTCTGTCAGACCCTGGGGACCTTTCACATTAGGTTATTTGTACTTTCATAGACAGGGAGAGTTCTAAATTTGAAGGTGAGTGTTTGTTAAATGCTTCAAATAGTGGCTGTCTGCAGAACTGGATTTCCCAAAAGTCTTAAAAAAGTCAGCGAAAACATAACCTCATCTGTACTGTGATAATCACAGGAATAAAATTAAAGGTCTTGCAGGATTTAGAATTTGTCCTGTGCACAGTCTGTTAATTATTTGCCTTTAGTAAATGACATGTGGAAAGGCTAATACTCAAAATACTCCAATTTGAGAATTGGAAAGGAAGTTTAAAGGGACTTCTATTATCACTCTTAAAGGAGACATTTACGGCAAGACGCAGCACCAGTGACTGCGTCTGTGTGGCATTTGCTCACTTAAGTAGATTACCCGAGATGGGCTGGGGAGGAGATTACTGTAATACAGGGTTAGAGTTTTGTCGGGGTCCGATTCTGAAAATCAGATGGACATGGATGTTCTTGGAATTAAGTACTTGTCTCACTTATAGTGAAACCATAGCCATCTTTGAATTTATTTATTATTTTTTATCTAGCAAGTTCAAGCATAATTGATTAAACTTTGGATTGCTAAAGCTTGGCAGTGTTACAGGCAAATCTGCATAAACCTTAACAAACGCCTTTTCCTATATCTAATTAAGAGGTGCAAATAGTCTGAAGCAGTCTCTTTCATTTTGAGTTGGTACAGAGCCACACATTTTATCTCCACCTGGTCTTTTACAACACCATGTTTCATCTAGGGTTGAAATGCATGAGGGATTATCTTGATTTATCTGAAGGTAACAGCAGCACCTTTAAAGTCAGAGGAGTGACAGTCGAAACAGATCTTTGTGTAGGCGGGGGGTGGAACACGGAGGCTGAGACGTGGCCGTCACCAAAGCCATCACGGCTGACATTTCTGGAGGTGCCGTGTGTACTCACTGAATCCTCATAGTGGTCATGTCAGGCACGTACGGCTTCACAATTCCTTATTTAAAACCCTCGGGGTCAGATGTATTTCAGAATTCAGAATTTCTTGGAGTCGAAAAAGGCAGTCGGGGCAAATGCCACATATCACACAAAATCCGCAGTGGGGTCTGGGAAGGCATCTCAGAAACAAGCCAGTTAGTATTTCTGCAGGGAAGCGTGTGACTAGTTACGCTGAGTGAAATAAATGAAAGCCATAAATACTATGTTAATTCAGATTAGGTCTTGCCACCAAGTGAGGTTGGGTAGCATCTTATGAAAACATTTTTATTTTTGTTTCTGAACGTTTTGGTAAGTACCAAATAAATACAGTTAATAACAGGTAACAGATTTTTATTCTTGTTTTAGAAAAATATAAGAATCTTGGTGCTTTCTGTGTCTACTACACAGGAGTGGAGAGCCTCTCTTTTTTATTATCCCCCATGAATTACACTAGCTACTTAGGCAGTAATTGTTCTCCTGCTTTCTGTAGATAGGCAATTTTCTCAAAGCTGTGGAAGGCTGACATTTCATGCAGCATGAATGGAATTTAACAAGGTGAAGTGTCATGGGTAAAAACAAAGTTCAGACTGTGCAAGGACAGAGGCTCGGTGCCTCGGCCGGCAGGCATTTAGTCAGCTGTGTGGTAAGTGACTGACACCCGAGGGGCCGCCAGCAATGGGAACGCGATCTTCCGCTCTGCAGCCAGGGGGCAGTGTTTGGAATGTGTGAGTGAGTCGTATCTCAGTGGACTCAGACCATATGTGGAGTCTTGTGTTCATTTCTGGACCGGCTGTTCTAAAGGAATGGAGGCGATGTGAAACGTTTCCAGGCAGATGATCAGGAGGGTGAAAGGACTTGAAGCCCTGACCTGTAGGGCAGCGGTAAAGTGGCCGGGCAAGTTCGTATGAACGTTACGCCAGTTTCTAGCAATATCGGACTGTAGTACCTGCTTGAATAAATACAGGTGCTCCTTGACTTATGATAGGATTGCGGCCAGGTAAACCCATTGTAAGTTGAAAATGTTGTAAGTTGGACATGCATTTAATACTATCAGGGGTGTCCAACCTGGCCAGTTGGCCCCATACAGCCCAGAATGACTGTTAATTTGGCCCAAAACAAAATCGTAAATTTATTTAAAACATTATGAGATTTTTTTTTGCCCTGGCTGGTGAGGCTCAGTGAATTTTTTTTTTGCCCTGAGTGAGATTTTTTTTTGCCCTCAGTGAGATTTTTTTTTTTTGCCCTGGCTGGTGAGGCTCAGTGAATTTTTTGCCCTGGCTGGTGAGTGCCAGCCTGTAAACCAAAGGGTCACTGGTTCGATTCCCAGTCAGGGCACATGCCTGGGTTGCGGGTCGAGTCCACAGCGTGGGGTACGTGAGAGGCAACCACACATTGATGGTTTTCTTTCTTTCTTTCTCCCTCCCTTCGTCTCTCTCTAAAAATAAATAATATCTTAAGAAACCGTGATTAGACGTCATAATATATTTAATGGGTGGCCCGAGACAACTCTCCTTCTCCCCGTGTGGCCCAGAGTCGCCAGAAGGTTTGGACGCCCTGCATCAGTTGTCTGCTCTCATGATGGAGTGGCTGGCTGGGAGCTGTAGCCACTTGTCAGCACCATGAGAAAGACTGCATATCGTTAACCCAGGAAAAGACTAAAATTAAAAATTTGAAGTATGGTTTCTACTGAAAGCATGTTGCTTTCACAGTATCAGTAAAGTTGAAAAATCTTCAGTCAAATCATTGTAAGTCAGGGACTGTCTGCAATTTTAGCTTGATAGTGATTGACTGCCAGCTCTGTGCCCTTTCCTGAGCTGTTACGCATTTGGGGTACAAAGATGAAAAGACATGAGTTAAGAAGATGGAAACGAGGAAACTGAAGCAAAACTAAAATTGCGATAGCAGTTCAGAAGCCAAGATAGCAATAAACTCTGGTCTCTTGAACTAGAGCTTATTCCTGGAGTAACTGTGTTGATCTGTCTTTTGGGGGCCTTGGAATTCTTTCACCCACTCATTAGAGTATTGTCAGAGAGGCTGGTGCTGCCTGACTCTCTAGCTCACGTTTTTCTTTGTCTCCTAGGTAAAGTGGCCTTGTGAATAGGGATGCCTGCCCAAATATCAGCATTGGAGATCATGGATGAAGATCAAATAATCGAAGAAGTGTTAGATAAGTTTGTTAATTGTCATGAGCAGACATATGAAGAATTTCTGAGCACTTTTACTCATCTTTCAAAAGGTAAAGTGGAAAAGTAATTTGTATAGCAGTGGAGATAAAGAATTTTATTATAATTTTATGTTTTTGCTGCTTTTTTCAGAAAGGCTCTTTAATGAGCATCCATTCATTCCATTCCTTTGATCCCGCTGTTCTTATCAGGGCATTCACAATGGATACGTGTAAATACCAACATTCCTGTGCAACCAAAAGTTGTGTCATAGAGTCAGAACTATGGAATTTGAGAACTAAGAAGGACCCTAGAAATCAGTTGGTACAATCCCTCCATTTTATCTCTGAAGAAATCCAAGTGCAAACGGTGGAGGTTTTTAAAAACATTTGAAACTTTTAAGAACTATGGCATACGGTAGGCTATGGAATTGCACCACGCACATTTGTACCCTGGCATGGTCCCTTTCTGGCCATGTGACCTGGGGGTGGAGGTGGCTACCAAGGGGAGAGGGTGGTTACTAAGGGGGCGGTTACTAAGGGGGCAGTCACCGAGGGAAGGGGGAATAATAATAGAACTTCAGAGGTTGGTGAAAGAGAATTGAGATAATCTGTATAAAACTCTTAGCTTAGTGGCTAATGTATAAGTACTTAATGGAAGCTGGGTGTTGTTGTGGTGGTGGTTGTGATGCTGCTGCTCCGATTTCTGGACAGTGGAAACAACCAGGCAGACCAGGAGTGATTAACTGAAGCCTAAAGGCCAAACCTGTGCTGTGTGTTTTATTATGTGTTTTGTTTGCCACTTACTGTATTTTTTTTTTATTGAGCCAATATTTAAAAGTTGGGAAACCTTACATAAAAATCTTGATCTGTGTTTTCTCTGATTAAGTGAGCAGTTCTGTTACCTGCCGTTTCCCTGAAGGCCGGATCAGCTTGAGCTCAGAGCTCTAGCTGGGAGCGCTCTGGTCTGTCATGCTCTCTGGCACTTGCACAGCTTAAAAGTGTGTGTTACACTGCCTGCTTCATTCACTTAAGTGCTTCCTGCAGGCACTTGAGTTTCTATGTTGTAAATTCTGCTTTAGGTCACTGTCGGCTTGATCTCAATCTCAGCCTCGGTCCTTTCTGGGTCATTGATCCGCATTTGTGAGTCCGCGGGTTCTCCGCTTCGCCACGTGTTGGACTCCCTGGAGGAGCCTTTAGAGCACCTTGGTACCGGGGGCGTGCGGAATCTTGGCTGGGGCTAGAAGTCAGTGGTCTGCAGAAGTTCCTCTGGTGATTCTAACGGGTCCCTAGGATTGAGGATCGGGAGTTTCATAATCTTTGAGGTCATGACACTCAAGATACCAGACTTCATGATTTAAAGTGATGAGTCATGCATCCTTAGGCAATGTAAAAGAAGGGTAGTAATAAAGAAGAAAAGGACAAGTGATTCTAACAGGTCTGTTTTGTTGTGCAAAGCAGTTGGAATGTCCATGTCTGTATTGTTTTTACTTGAAAACTGTGGACTCCGGTTTTGTTTATAATGAAGGGAAATGGAGAATTCAGTAAGTCTCTAGTAAACTTTAGGACTGTGGATGATGTGTTATGACAGGATACGTGGATCAAGGCAATCATGACGATGGCCCATCACCTTGGTCTGTAGACTGGGGTTCAGGAAGATGTTTGAGACTAACTGTTTAATTGTCTAGTTCCATATTTACTGGACCCAGCTGTGCCACTGGAAGGTGGCCGATGTTGGGTGTGTGTGCAGAAACAAGGGTAAAACCGGCAGAATTGATGCATTTTGGTATGCCAGTGGCAGTCTGATAATTCAGATTGTCTTGTAAATTATTTTAAAGCTGAGTTTAAAATAGTTATAAAGCTGACTTTCTTTTTGTGCTATGGGAGAGTAAGAACTTGCAAGGACTTGGGTATTTTGAGGTGATTATAATAGTTCTCGGGATAAGGGGGTTGGTCTATTTCCTTTTGAGATTTCTGTATGAGCGTTTCGTGCTGGAACAGAAATCGTGACGCATCCGGTAACTTCACTGTGAGTGTAGTTTTGGGCCCCACACTGAGCTGAAATAAATGATGATGCAAATCGCACAAACTGCCTCTCTGAGCATACTAGTTTTTTTTCCCCCTGCTTTCAAAATATCCTTAGGCGCCAGTTTTCATGAAAAACTAATGAACTGAAAAAAAATTCCTCTTAAAGAACAGAGTTGTGAGTGCAAAAATGTGTCTTAAATCAGGAAGCATCCTTTCGCCCCTGAAACATTTAAAATACCTTTTGAAAAAGCAAACGGGACTTATGGACAGGCCTAGGGAGTTGAGTGAAGCAGAATTGATTACAGTGAATATTGTTCATCCTGTTTTAAGGAAAACATGAAAGGTCTTAAGAGTTTTCTCCTTTTCAGCCATTCATTTGTCTTAGTGTGTTTGATCATGTTGCTATGTAGTGGAATCTCTGTTAAGTTAAAGTGGTTATCACCATGCATACTTCTGTACATTTCTTCAGTGAGTTTAGTTTAAATCCAGTCCCACTTCCTCTGATTGACTGTTCTATTAAATTGTATAGTAGTTATACACCGGAGTGCTTGTGGGATTCATTTTCTTTCTAAAGTGTTAAAAGGGTCAGTAATCTTATTAAAAACAGTTCCCTGGAAAAAATTTAACTACAGCTTTATTGAAATGTATTCATATTATGGCTTTAGACTCTTGAAAAAGAGCTGGAAACTGTTAATATTATAGCATAATTCTCACTACAGTACGTTTATGTTGATAATATTTTGCAGGTTTTTTTAAGAAGAGATCTGGTTTTTAACACCATCGTACATATTTGATAATAAATACAATGTTCTGTCAAAGTACTTAACGACATATTAATTATATTAATTATTAATTTTAAAAGAGACAGTTATAATTGAATTCTCAATAGTGTCTTTGGTTCGAGAAAGTAAGACCAAGTTGTAAAATTTAGAAAATTAGAATGCAGATTTTGGTTTTATTCATTATTGGTGAAGATCTTACTATATTGTTGACATTATTGTGACTAAAGATAAAATGCTAAGTTTTAGGTATCTCAGTGTCTTTGTGAATATAATGAACTTATATGTTTTTTTTAGAATATCCATCTGAAGGGAAAAATGCTTCGTCCTACTTGTCTGTCATATTGCTAAACTTTTTTTAGGTTATAAAAACCCAAATATGAAAACTTATGTTTGATTTTCTATTAATGAGTACATGTATGCATTCATTCATTCATCCTCTGAGTATCTCCTTATGACCTAGGTATTATTTTAGGTGCCGAGGATCCAAAAATAAACCAGTAAGTGTTCTCAAGCACTCATAGTCCACTGAGGGAGAAATAAACAAACGATGGAGAGAAGCATGGGATTCTGTGAAAGCTTGTAAGAGCGCCATTCAGACCCCACTCGATGGTAGAATAGTAAAGTCTACCCCCTGGAGAGGATGCCAGGAGAGTCTGGGATAACCACTGAACCAAAACTTAGCTTGGGTCCTAAAACATTAAACAGAGTGCTGGAATGTTTGATAGACACAGATGAATTTGAAAGATGTTAAAATGCTTGGTCCTTTTGAATCATGGTGCCATTTGTTTTAGTATTGATATAATTATATATATATATAATACCATATATATACCATATATATACCATATATATATACACCACATATATCCACATATATACATATATATATATGTGATTTTAATAATAGGTTTAAATGGTAAATTTTCAAGGTGGAGATGTAGCTTTGCTCCAGTTATTTCTAAACTACTGGGAAAAGAAGGTTTCTAAAAGTTCCTTGCACACAGAGATTGCCACACAGCCTTATGTGGGAACAGTTGAGTGGTGGTCGCTGCTCATGTGGACATCGTCGGAAGTTATGAAATGACATACTTGAAAAGCCAGTGACTTAGAAATTGGTATTTAATCTTTTCAACTCCATTTGTTACATATACTAACCCTAACCCTAGAGGGATGTAGTTGTTACATGTTACATCCAAATTCTGAATCTCTCTCTCTCACACACACACACACACACACACACACACACACACCCTATTATTGTTCTGATTTTGTGCTTCAGGCTAACTGATTAATTTTCATTGAAGTTGCTCTTTGACCAACTATTCAGCTTAATATAGTTTGGAAATTGCAATGAACCTACTGTGATTTTATAAATACTCTTAAATAGTCTTTGTTTTTCCTTCTCCCATATCATTTTTTAAGATTCTTAGCATCCAGTTTCCCAAGTAGATGCCTAAGGACAGAAACTAAAGACAGTTTCTATATCACCACTTCAAACAGTTTGCTGCTCACGGCCACATTTACCCACTTTAATCTGTTTTCTTATGTCTACATCAAAGATTCTGTTTCTGATTTTGAGGTGTGGTTTGGTTTCCAGTTTTCTTTATGATAGTCTCATTTCAGTTGCAATACTTGTGCTTTTAGCATTCTTTCCACATATATTTGAAAAAATTCCTGTTGACTCCACTTTTCTCCCTTCATACTTGTTAATATTTGAACTACCCCCCCCCCCACACACACACACCCCGTAAGTACAACACCGTGTGTCTGAGTATTTGGGACAAATGGCTGTGCCTGTGGCTTTATTCACTGGTGCTGGTCAGATCTTTGTTTCACTTAAAATCTTTGAAATTCTTAGTTTGAACACTCTAAATAGGTTTCAGTTTTTCTTAGATTTTAATAACCTTAGGAGGTCTGCCCACATTTAGTTTTTTAAGAGCCAGTGTCCTGCCACCGTCACAGGTTTCGGGAACGTACGGTTGTACGTGATCTGTCATCACAAGGTCTGTGCCGTCCAATGCAGGAGCCACGAGCCACACATGGCTGCTGGGCATTTGAATGTGGCGTGTGCTACCCCAGAACTGAGTTTGAAATTTCATTGAATTTTTATTAGGTTAAATTTCAATGACAAAACTACTACTTAATTCAGTTATCAGAAAACTTTGAAATGTGTTTGGGACAAATAATAAACCAATTTTTTTAAATGTAAATTTTGTGAACTATAGATACAGATTAGGTATTTTTGATGAAAATTTTGAATTGAGA